TTCTGGGGGTCCTCTGATGGACAGTGCAGGGAGGTCCTCTGATGGACGGTCCTGGGGGTCCTCTGATGACCTCTAATGACAGTGCAGGGGAATCCTCTCACGGGCAGTCTGGGGGGTCCTCTGGTGAACGGTCCTGGGGGGGTCGTCTGATGGACAGTGCAGGGGTTCTTCTGCTGGACAGTCCTGGGATTCTCTGATGGACATTCCTGAAGGCCCTCTGATGGATGGTCCTGGGGGTCCTCTAATGACATCTAATGACAGTGCAGGGGGGTCCTCTGATGGACAGTCTTGGGTATCCTCTGATGGATGGTCCTGGGGGGGGGTCATCTGATGGACAGTGCAGGGGGTTCCTCTGATGGACGGTCCTAGGGGCATCCTCTGATGGATGGTCCTGGGGATTCTCTGATGGACGATCCTGGGTGGCCTCTGATGGACGGTCCTGGGGGAGTCATCTGATGGACAGTACAGGGGGTTCTTCTGTTGGACAGTCCTGGGGGGTCCTCTGATGGATGGTCCTGGGATCCTCTGATGGACGGTCCTGGGGGTCCTCTGATGGACTGTCCTGGGGATCCTCGGGGAACAATGCTGGGGGATCCTCTAGGGGATAGTACTGGGGGTCCTTGAGGGGACAATGCTGGCAAGGCTTCAGGGGATGGTGCTGGGGGGTCCTCGGGGGACCGTGCTAGGTTGTCCTCACACACATTCCCTTTTCTCTCTGGTGGTAATGTCAGGCTTTGTCTTTATTTTAGGTAAAATCCATTTGCAATTTAAATGAACCCCCGTGAATAATTCTTTCTTCTCTTTTTCACTTGTAGTGTTCGTGGAGAAAGTTCTGAGGAGGCTTTTCCCTAGTGTTCCCTGTGGCCAAGAAAAGAGGGTACCCGTGGCTCCAGCTTCTGGAAACCCAGCGGAGAGGGTGGCCACTACGGACCTCAGGGGCAGGAGTGCCACCACCTTGACAGGTGAGGGGCTTGCGGGGGGAGGGGAGGGGGGTGGTCAGTGACCTGGCAGTTGTCATGTTTTGCCCTGGAGCAGGCAGCTCTGGCCTGGCTGTCAGGGGTGGTGACCCTGCACGTCCTGTATCTGGCAGTGCAAGGTCACTGTGCCCACACTGTGGACTTCAGCGTGCTCAGTGCGGAGAGAAGCCGGTGCTGGCACCTCCGTTAAAGACCAGCTTGAGTTCACTGTGCTGGGCAGAGACTGTCCTCGTCCCGGTGCAGGTGCGGAAGCAGTGTGAAGAGCTGTGGCCGGGGCGCGGGGAGGACCCCTTGTGAGAGCCAGGGAGCACGGGGCAGTGGCTGGGGCGCGGGGAGGACCCCTGGCCATTTCCATGTCGTTGTCCACACCCAGGAGAAGTGAAAACACATGTTGCACAAACATTTTCACGTGGGTGTTCGCAGCAGCAACGTGTCCTTACTGTTGTCCGTGCCACTGTCTACAGTGTTGTCCTCGCCATCGTCCACACCCTTTTCCACGCCATTGCCCACACCACTTCCTGCACCGTTGTCCACACTGCTGTCCACGACACTATCCAGCTCCTGCGCCAAGCAAGTGCCCAGGGTCCTGCAGGCTTACTTTGCTCAGCTGCTGGTCCCCCATTTGCAAAAGGAGGACCTACCAGGCATAGACACCACCACGGTGTGCCCACCAAAGGGACAGTTGGGAATACTGGTCTCACAGAAAGAAAGCGAATTATTCTAAGGACACGCAACACATCTCTTTCCAAGTCACGTATTTGACATTCCTTTGCTTTCAGCAAAATTGAAGGAAATAGTTGAGTTATCAGCCGATCGTTAAAAATAGCTTTGTGAAGGGACGCCTGGGTGGCTCAATTGGTTAAGTGGCTGACTTCAGCTCAGGTCACGATCTCATGGTTCGTGAGTTCGAGCCTCGCATCAGGCCCTGTGCTGACAGCTTGGAGCCTGGAGCCTGCTTTGGATTCTGTGTCTCCCTCTCTCTCTGCCCCTCTCCCGCTCGCACTTGGTCTCTCTCTCAAAAATAAATAAAGATTTTAAAAAAATAGTTTTGTGAAGGGGCGTCTGGGTGGCTCAGTTAAGCATCGAACTCTTAGTTTCGGCTCAGGTCATGATCTCACAGTTTGTGGGTTCAAGTCTGCTTGGCATTCTCTCTCTCTCTCTCTCTCTGCCCCTCCCCTGCTCACGCACTCTCTCTCTCTCTCTCAAAATAAATAAACTTTAAAAATCTTTAATAAAAAGTAATAATTTTGTTTGATGATGGATTTCTCTGTGATTTTTGGCATATTATTTACAAAGAATTCAATGAATCAAGTAATATTGCTATTTTTAAAAAGCCACATGCCGTCTTCTACCTATTTTTGTGTTCAGAGTTTCTGAGCAGTTACCTCTGTAAAATGAAGACGGGTAGTGTTCCTGTAGGACCCTGTCTCGTAGCAGTGACACATGTGCTTCCATACTCCTTCCCTCTCAGCAGAGAATCTTGGCCCAAGGGACTTGCTCTGTAGTGGGTAATGATTAAAAGCAGTAATTGTTACTTTGATCAGTTGCCTTTTACTAATTCTAATAATGTAGAAAAATTATGTTTACCATCATAGACATTTTTTAAAGAAGACGGTTTATTTGAGAAGCATGATGCGATAAAGTTATTATATTAGGGCAAACCTGTGGGGGAGTTGGAGTTCCAGAGGACAGAAGGGTGAATGAGCCAAGAGCTTGATCACGTATCTTATGTAAGTGGCTGTGGTGCGTTGGATCCCCCTTAGACACAGCACAAGTAAGTCTTCCATATGGCGGCTCTCAAGCTCCATAACTTGTGTGTACGGAGGCACCCGTTTTAAAACTTGTTTTTAGGGAATACGTGTGTCAGAGCAATGCCCACCTCCATGCTGACAGGCAGGCTAGCAGGTGGCTGGGCGTCGGTCAGGTAGGTTCGTGCTGTTGAATCTGGGCTTTTTATGGGTCCGTGAAAATCAGTATGTGGAGACACATCTATGAATGCCTGGAGATGTCATGAAAACAGACAAAGCTCTTTGGTAAAAACTGCAGTTTTCCATTAAGATGTGAATGTTTTCTTATAAAATCTTGATGATACAACAGCTGTCTCGGAACCCCTTCTACCCAGGTCTTTTCCTTCTTAACCTTTGCCGCTTCCCTGAAAGCCTGCTGTTGTATAAAAAAAAATGTAACAAATGGAGCTCAAGGGCCTCATACCCAGTGAGTAAGTCAGGCAGAGAAAGACAGGCACAGCATGATCTCACGTTTCCGTGGACGCTGAAAACCTCAAACTGAGAGAGAATGGACAGAGGTTGCTGGGGGCTGGGCTGGGGGACGGGGGGATTATGGTCACGGGAACCGACCTAAAGTTATAAGGGGGATAAGTTCTGGGGGCTAATGTACAGCGTGAGGACTACAGTTAGCGATTCTGTACCGTGTACCCAACAGTTCCTGAGAATAGATGTCGTACTTATGTGAGGGGAGTGGCCATCACCTTGCAGTGTTTAAGTTGTCTCATCAGTACACGGTACACCCTGAGGTTTCACAGCGTAAGTGAAGTCTTCGAACACCCTCCAGCCACGTCTCCCTCTCGTCTCCCTAGAATTTGGAAGCCCCGGTTCCCATGTAGTTTCATGCTTGCTGATACAGTGTGTATACTTTAGTATATATGTGTGATTCCTAGGGGGCTTGTGAAACTTTATATTGATGATGGCGATTGCTGTCTATGTAGCCACTGTCCTCTGCTGTTGTGTGACTGTATTGGGATGTACCCCCCACCTCTGGTGTCTAGCAATCTGAGTTTTCGGAGCCTCGTGTGGTTTCCTCCACAGCTCTCCTTCGAGTTTCTGAGCTTCTTGGGTCTCTGGGGTTGTGATTTTCATCACGTGGGGAATGTTCCGTAACTGTTTCTTGGAGGGCTTCAAGTTCACATACGAGGCCACCTGACATTGCCCCACAGCCTACAGATGCCCTGTTGGTCCCATGCCTTGTCCTTTTCTGTGGGTTTTATTGGACTTCCATGGGGCTAAGATGTTCTTACATCTCGGCCGGCTGGGTGCGCGTGGCCAGGCGGCAAGGCAGAAGTCCACGTGGCCGCAGGAACTGCCGTCTGTCATCCAGGGGTGCCCCATGGAGGTCGGAAGGGGCCACCTCTCCTGTGCTCCTGCCCACCCTCCCAGCTCTGTCTGGCCCTTCCCTGAGGTTGCTCTGCCCAGTGCCAGGCTGTGAGCCCCAGCCCCCGCCTGGCAGCTCCTCACAGGGGCACCCACATCACGCTCAGCAGAACACGCAAGGGTCTCCCCCTAGAGCCCTAGGCTCGCTCAATGCAGCCCGCTTCTCCCGAGGACGCTGCCCATGGCCTGCAGGCGTCGGGCCTCCCTGGACCCCAGCTGCCAGGCCCCACCCCCAATCCTCGAGCTCACTCCGCCCCAGGCCAGCATGGCCACAGTCTCATGGCTGGTTCCCTTCCTCAGAGATCAGCATCTGGAACTTGTTTCATCAGGTTGGCCTGTCTTTGCGGTTGTTCTGGGCAGGATGGTGCACGCTTCCCACCACCCCGTCTTGGCTGGAGAAGCACATCGTACGTTCTTTTGGCTTTTCTAGAAGTAAGGATACGCTGGGTCACCATCGACCTCTCCTTTACACACGGGCGTTTCCCAAGCACGTGTCCCCAGAGAAGTAGCTTCAGGTTTATTGTTCATTTTGCCAACTTGCCTGTCAGACATGCACCACTCAAGTGACCTGCTAGTTCCCATTTCCCCGGGTCCTACTCAACAGTTATTCCTGTTGAGTCAAGCTGACCCTTGAACGAGCCAGGGGTTGGGATGCCAGCCTCCAGGCAGTTGGGACTCCCAGAAATTTACCTACTGTTGGCCAGAAGTCTTACCAATAACACAGTCAACTAACACATGTCTGTATATGTATTATATACTGTATTCTTACTACAGAGTCAGCTACAGACAAGGAAACGTCATTAAGAAAATTATAAGGAAGAGAAAATGTATTCATGTTATGTACTGTACGTATCAAAATAAATCTCCATATCAGTGGACCCCAGCAGCTCAAACCCATGTTGTTCACGTGGAGGGAGCCTGCACCTCATTCTACTGATGGTTAGTGAGGTAAAGAGCTCGGCGGCTTGCGCATGTGTGTAAACCATACTGTTTGCCCATTTTCCTCTTGGGTTTTTTTTGGAGTTTATCTGACAGATTTCATTTCTTTTTGTATTCCAAATCCCAATTCTTGGCCAACTGTACACCTTCTCTCCATGGATTCTCTTAATTTTTGAAAACAACAATGTGTTCTATTGTTTAGAAGTTCATAGAATGTGGTTTCTCAGTCTTTAAGTCTGTGGTTTGTGCTGTTTGTGTCTGGCTTAAGAAGTCTTCCTTGTGGCGCCTGGGTGGCTCAGTCAGTCAAGCGTCCAACTCTTGATTTCAGCTCAGGTCATGATCCCAGGGTCGTGAGATGAAGCCCTATGTCGGGCTCTGTGCTGGGCGTGGACCCTGCTTGGGACTCTCTCTCCCTCTCGTATGCTCATACAGCATTATGTCCATGGCAGACACCGCCCCGTCTCTCCCCATCCCTATAAATGTCGAAGCCCAGAGCTCGTCTCCTTTCTCTGCTCTGTGTAGGTACCAGCCGTCAGCCCATCCTGAATCTGACCCCTTCCCAAAGGAAATCATTTGCTTGACTGATGTACTTCCCTTACCTCTTAGGAGGAAAGCCTGCCTGAGTTGCATGGGCACAAGTATTGGTGGCCCCGAGACTTCCAGAAAGGGTAAAAGAACTCTATTTGAGGTGCAGGAGGAGGGGCCAGCGATACCAAGATGGCAAAGATTGTGCAGAAAATGATCTGACCCCTCACCCACCCTCAAAACTCCATTAAAATAGCTCAACTATTGTCCATATGAAACCTGCAACAGATGTTTACAGCAGCTTTGTTCGTAATTCCCAAAATGTGGAAGCAACCACGACTCCCTGCAGTGGGTAACAGGTACACTGAGGTCAGTTCAGACCCTGCAGCGGGTGGCAGGTTTGCTGAGGTCCGTTCACACCCTGGAATATTTCATGGCCTTCAAGCCGTGAAAAGACACAGATTAGGCTTAAATGCAGATCTAAGTGAAAGAAGGCTGTCTGAGAAATCTACAAACTGCATGATTCCAACTACATGACATTCTGGAAAAGGCAAACCAGGTAGGGAAAACGTGAGTGGTTGCCAGAGGCTGAGGGCGGGGGATGGCCAGGTGGAGCACAGAGGGTTTTTAGGGCAGTGATGTGAGTACAGGGAATCCTGCATTGTCCAGACCCACAGAATGCACAACACCAGGAGTGACCCTCACGTGGACTGTGGACCCTGGGTGATGACAGTGTGTCCGTGTCGGATCTCTGACTGTAACAGATGTGCCCTCTGATGGGGGTGGGGGGCGCCCCCATAGGTCGGGGGGGGGGCAGAGTGTGTGTGCAGAGGGGTATAAGGGAAGTCTCTGTACCTTTCTCAATTTTGCTCTGAACCTAAAACCTCTAAAAATGTAAAGTCTTAAGTATTTTCTTAATTACTCAGCTCTCGAGGTGCTTGGGGGTGAGTGGACAATTTGTAGAAAAGGAGGATGCTGAATTTTGCGTCTGGAATGACAGGGACAAAGGAGAGGTAGGAGCCAGGCCCAGGACTGGGGCCAGAGCAGGGAAGACAAGGTGTCCCCTCCAGGACTCATGGGGGCTCTAGGAGGGCTCTGGGCCGACCATACCGTGTGGTCGGGGGTCAGAGCCAAGTTTCGATCATTCTACCGGAGACAGGAAGGCGGAGCTTACAGCCTGTTACTTGTGTGGGGGCTGAAAGTCTGAAGTCTGAACACCTAATGGCCACACCTGCTGTGTGTGTAATGGAAGGAAGGAACTAAACCAGTTTTTGATGGTGGCACGTGGTGTGAGGACACTGTGACAAACGTCTCTCCTTCGGTCAGTGACAGCATTTACTTGAACGTTTCAAAGCCTGGCTGTGCTGCTGGCTCTGTTCTGAGATGCTGGGCTGGACACTCGGAACCGGCTCGCACGACCGTGACCACCATTAGGAAATACAGGGGTCAAGTGTGCAAGCTTCTGAAAGCGCGTCTCCGTTACAGACAGGCCGAGGGGCCAGGGGACCCTGTAGGGACGCCTGTACATCTGAGCTCCTTCCCGAACACATCTTCCTCCTCATGAAGTCTGTGCTGCTCCTCAGGCACAAGACAGAGTCATGGCCCCGGGCCTCTCCTCCGGCCGGCTGCCCCTGTGTCCTGTGCTCGTTTCCCTTGTGGCTCTCTGTGTGGCCATGAGCACCGCGTTACTGGCTCCCTCCCGGGCAGAGATGAGGCTGCCGTGTATCACAGTGTCCAGTGCCCCGCGAGAGGCGCTCAGCGACCTCAGTGTGAGCCACTCCAGGTCCGAATAAGGAGCTAAAAGGACAGGACGACCAGGCACGTGTTGGCGACCACCCCAGAATGGGCTCCACTTGAGTCACGCGGGTCCCCAGAACTCCCCCCAACTGCACCACTGCCCCCACACTCTCTCTGCTCACACTCCGAGTTTATTCAGAGTTTGTTCCTGTGCGTGGTCCAGTGACAGAAATGACAGTGCAGCACGGGGACCAGGGTCAGTAGTGTCATACTGCCGTGTGCTGACAGATGGTGACCGTGCCTCTCGCAGGAGCAGGGCACTGTGCGTACAGCGGTCGAGTCCGTATGTGGTACGCGTGAACGGATACAACACGCTCTGTCAGCTGTACGCGAATCAACTGTGGCCAATGCCACCCGATGTCGGAAAGAGAATGGCAGGAGGCAGGGTGGTGGGGATGCTGTTCTGGACCACGTGTGTCAAGAGCCAGCAAAAAAGGTGCTCATCCTTCGGACCAGCAGTTCATCTCCAGGACTTTGTCTGAAGGAACTCCGTGGTCAAGTGTGCAAAGTTTGTGCAACAAGGACGGTCGTAGAAGCTGTCTGTGATAGTGAAAATTTAGAGTCAATCTCCATGTGCGAAATCTAGGACAATGGTTGAATTATAATTAAGTTATAATTTGCCAAAACGTGGCATATTATGTAGCCGTTAAAAGATCGTGTAGATGTAAATATATCTTAATATATTTCCTCATCATGTTCTCTTAACTTCTGAATGATATGATACACGTAATATACAAATGTGTGATTATCAAATGCATGTGGCAAGATCCCATTAAGGTGTGTGTGTACACAGCATATGTGGGTTGTTCGCACGCCTGGAGAAATCCCAGATTGTGCACCAAAACGTCAAGAGATTCATGTTGTAACAGTGGAAGGTATGCTCTGTAGAATATTGTTTTTTCTGCTTACTTATACTTTTACATCGTTGTAAAACACAGAGGTTAGTTAATCACGGATCCTTCCTTTTTCCTGGCTGGATCTTGGGCTGTCCTGCTGCTCTGGCCAAGTGCTTGGTGTCCTGAGATCAGTGCTGACAGCAGTGGCTGGGCTTTGTGACCTGTTGGGTTTCGTGTCTCCAGTGGATGTGGTTGGGGAAGGGCCAGGGCCAGTGAGGGTCTCATCACAGTATGCCATGTTCACAGCCCCCTTGTCTCCTGCAGGTGGAGACTCCAAGGTACCTCCTCGAAGGCGGCTCTACACGGCGAGTTTGCCTCCTGAGGGGTACGTCCCAGCCCCCCCAGAGCCGCAGGCCAGCCCGGCCTCCGAGGACAGCTCGGGCAGCGATGACGCGGGAAAAGGATGCCCCCTCTCAGGTGAGGCGTGATTCTGCAGCTTAACTTCACCCAAATTTACCGCGACAGGGCCGGGGGAGCAGGTCACTGGACGGCTACCCAGTGGGCTCGTTTGTGTCCTGCAATCATTAAAAGTGACGTCACAAAATTCATAGCGGCAGGAAAACAGACTTGAGGCAGGAGGAGATTTAGCTGGGACCCGACCGTGGCCGTCATCACTCGTGCTGCTATTAAATGCGTCACATGTTAATGGTAGTTGTTGTGGTTTAAGGAGAACTTTTTTCTTGATTTTCCATTTTATTCAGCATTTCTGAGATCGTATATCAGTTTTGTAATGATGGAAATAACTTGCTTTGCCTCACTTTTGTGAAAGAATTGAATGTCTGTCTTGCTTTTGTGGTCGAAGGCCGCGTGAACAAAAGACATACCTGCTTTGGTGGATGTGCCGATGTTACGTTAAATCCGCAAATAAGAGGTTTCACCCAGACGAGTTTCAACAAGTATAAACTCAGAAACTCTATCCTACAAATGTCAAGAGAATGTGGTTTCCTTGTACATTGATCTTTCCAAGTCTCTAATTAAAGGACCAGAAACCATAGAACCAAAAATGGGGTAGGTGAGGAATAATCTATTCATCTTTTCAAACCCTGTTGAAAATCTTTGGAATGTGATTAGTAGATAAAGGGATTATTTCATTAGGAAATTTAACTGTGTTCTTACGAGGATGAATTACTTTGGGGAGCACACTTCACCGTGTGCTCAGTCTATTCAGTAAAAACCATGTGTCCCGTGCTGCTGTGCTCAGTCAGTTCTGGTTCACCCACAGCTGCACACAGTCGGCCCTGCCGAGGAGGCCAGCACGGGCTGGGCCACGTGAGGGACCCCAGTGCCAGAGGCTTGAGTCTGTCCTGTGATCGGTAGGCTCCGAGCTGTAGGGATGCCCTCCTAGGAAGTTGAGGTGTTTGTACGAGGTGGACGGATGCCCTGCCGGAAGCCAGCCAGCTGGCCCTGTGGTGCCACCCTGACAGCTGTGCACTGACGAGAGCCAAAGAGAAAAGACCAGGGAAACTGAGGACCTGGGATGCATTCCTTTTAAGCTCCATGGTCACCTCATAGTTCAACGCAAATTGTATACCGTTGACTGAAGCATTATCACAGGGCATGTCTCTGTGAGGTGTTTGTCAGGAAAATTTGTTAGTTTGTCTCTTTCTCTGTTACCTGTTGTGGGCGTGGCCATTGTGGAGAGAACCTTCCGTGGGTCTTCCTTTCCCCGGGAAGGGAGTGATGATGTGGGGGATGGTACTTGGCCCATCACCCACCAAGGAGAGAGTGGACAGGTCTGTACCCAAGATCAGTTCTGTCCACGTTGCTCTGTCCACTGAGACTCACCCTCACCTTCCATCTGGGCTCCCATCGACTTGGGCCCTGATGCTGTGTGGCCGGCCGTCTGCCACTTGGGTCTGCAGTTCCTCACCGGCTCCACCCACCTCCATGGGGACCACGGCTTGGCTTTAAGAGGCGGCTCTTTCTAGAGGCCCTGTGAGTCCAGGGTCCTGTGGCCACTTTTCCAGAAGAGCTTTGAATACAGATCCAGGCCTGGGAAGTCCTTATCTTTCACTTTTGAACACTTGTAACTGACGTCTAAATGTTTCCAACTACTTTGTTTACTCCCTGTTCCTTGTCAGCCCAGGAAGCAAGGTGTTGGAGGTGATAAAGTTGGAGAAGGCCTCCCACCAGTGGTCTCTGAAATGAAAGGCCGTGCTGTGCTGTGCGGTGGGTGTGTGGGCTGGGGTCTCGCCGAGGCCTGGGGCCCACGCTGCTGCACAGCCACACCTAGCTCCCTGTGGGGCCAGAGGACGCGCCAGGCAGAGGTGTGCAAACCTGGAAGCTGGGAGGAATCCTGAATCTTTTCATTTGCGATTTTAAGCAAAGAGAACATGAGAACTGAGATTGGAAAAAGAAGAAAAAGTCAAATCGTTACTGTTTTTCAAAGAACCACTTTAGATTTCCATTGTGAATACCCAGGACCAGTAAGTCAATTACATAGTGACTTAGAGAACACTTAAGGAGAAAAGGGGTGACCCTGTCTTGCCTTTGTGCCCACTTGTGGCTGCTGAGCCTGCTGCTGCCTGCATGCTCTGGGCACCCTCACCAGGACTCCTGCAGGACAGAGCTTCGGCCCAGAGCACACGGGAACCGAGGCACGTCCAGGTGTGGTACCAGAGCCAGAGTCCCCAGGCCGCCTGGGGAGCTGGCGGGAAGCCCTGGTCCTGGTCACCCCACACTGCCCCGGGAGCCCTCGTCAGGGTCGCCCCGCACTGGCTCCATTGCAGGTGTCCCCTGGCCCTGGGGTATATCTGCACTCGGGGCTTGTGAAGTGTTGTCATTAGATCTGTTCCAGGCACACGGGTTTGCTGTAGAGACAAGAATGTGCTCTTGTCAACCCAAGTATCAACTGTGTGCTCCTTGCTCTCTGTGCGGCCTTTTTCTGTCCTGTAGGTAGTGTCTGAGTGTAACAAATACAGACTTTGAATTCTTTTAGGCTTAATATTGGTTAGGAATGGGCGGGTGGGTGGGAGCTGTCGGGAGAGGAAGTAGTGTAATCAGACTAAATGCGTACCGTACCGTCGGCCTGTAGGACCCCCTCGCATGTGAGCCACTTCAGTACCTTCTACAGCTTTAGATAAAAAGAAATCCGTGCTCCCTGTGCTCCTTACTGCCTTAGACACCCCAGCTCTTCCCATCTTGCTCACACCGTGTTGCATGTTGTTCTCAAGAAGCTGGTAAACGTGTCCATTACCGCTGGAGCGTCCCGCCGTGTCCCGTTACCCCTGGAGCGGCCCGCCGTGTCCAGTACCTGTGGAGTGGCCCGCTGTCCTGTTCTTGGTTGTTTGGGTCGCTGTCCCAATGCTGAGGACACCTTCCCCAGCCTCAGGACAGCTGGGGCCTCAGGGGAAAGGGCCCCAGGTCTGCAGCACCACGTCCTGTGCGAGGGATCCTTCTGTCCTCTGGACTCACTTCCCTCACTTGCCTCATGGCGGTAACAGCCCGGACTTGTGTGCCAGTTAAAGTGGGTTTACTGCAAAATTGCGCCAACATAAGCACAGCCAGCTTTTGTTCCCCGAGACACCGGAGCCTGGACTTGAGTCTTTAGTCAACGTTGGGAAGTGAGGGCAGTAATTACTTATAGAAACAGCCCGTGAGGAAAGTCTGCTCTCCGAGTTCATAATCACCAGTGGTTTCAGCCATATGGACGTGGTTTTGTTCAGATGAATCTGCAAAGTCGTTAACATTAAGTCTTGCGATCATTATTCTAATAACATGCACGAAAAGAAATACTGACCTCGTGGCTCTTGGAAGCAGGAGCTAACTGCACGGTTCCCTGCAGACTCACTGTGAGCCAGGCATCTGTCCCTTCCGTGTATTGGCAGGTGGCTTCAGACTTGTCGCCTGTGTCTGGGCTGAGGGAAGCCCCACCCCTGGCTTCCTTGAGGCCTCCGAGGGCGTCACTGTAGCACATAGCCCAGCACCCCACCTTGTTTGACTACCAAGTGCAGTTTTTACCAAATGCAGATGGAGGCCAGGGGGAGGCCTAGGAAGGCACTTGGCCAAAACCTGCTGACCAGGGGCCACGTCCCACCTGCTTGAGGGTGCGTCAGGTGGCTGGGAGGGGCAGTGGAGGTGGGGTCGATCTGCTGACGACCTGAGCACCCTCACCAGACGTGAGGTGGAACCAGCTGCCAGCCCCTGGAAGGCTTTCGTGCATCCTTGGGTCCCTGAGAGGCTGGAACTCTTGTGTGCGCTCACGTTGTGTTCCTCTGGTGTCTTACCAACGCACCTGATGCTCTGGGTCCCTCCTCCGTGAAGTGAGCCAGCACAAACCTGATGAATGCTTGGTCATGGGCCCCGTGGCACAAGGTGTCAGAGTATTATTTTGAAATCATGTGCTGATGCACTCAGTTCACCTCTTCAGCCACGTTTGTTCTGTTTGCCCTTAATTTTCTTAAAGTAGAGCCACTGACTTTCCAGCCATCATTGGCATATACTCATAAGAAATTTGGATTAGAGAAATATGTAGATTTCTACTTTAGCTTCAAGTGAGTGCATTGCGGTAATGGAATGAATTGTAAATACTTTTATTAGATATTGATTAATAGTTCTTCAACTAATAAACGTTATAGAAGGAGACCCTGAGAAAAGAAGGTAGGACATTATTTCAGACAAGGACGTCTGTTCTCATACCACATGTACTCAACACAGCATGGGAAGTCCTGGCCAGATCATTCGGGCAAGAGGAAGGAATAGAAGGCATCCAGATTGGCAAGGAAGAAGCGAAACTCACTGTTTGTAGATAACATGATATTACATAGAAGAAATCCTAAAGGCTCCACAAAAGAATTGTTGGAACTGATAAATTCAGTAAGGATGTAGGATACATAGTCAGTATACAGAAATAAGTTTCGTTTCTATACATTGACGACAAACTGTTAGAAGTAGTCAGGGAAACAGTCCCATGTACACCTGCATCAAACAGAATAAAATATCTGGGAGTAAACTTAACCAAGGAAGTGAAAGACCTGATAAAACACTGATCAAAGAAACTAAAGACAAATGGAGAGACCTCCACGCTCATGGGCTGGAAGAGTAATATTGTTAAAGCGTCCGTACTGCCCAAAGCAGTCCACAGAGTCAGTGTCAACCCTATCAAATTACCAATGGCATTTTTCAAAGAAATAGGACAAACGATCCTAAAATCCATGTGCAACACAAAATACCCTGAAGAGGCAAAGCAATGCTGAGAAAGAAGAACAAAGCTGGAAGCAACACAGTCGCAAGTTTCAAGTTCTATTACAAAGCTGTGATAGTCAAGTCAGTGTGGTACTGCCACAAAACAGACACGTAGATCAGTGGAACGGAACAAAGAGCCCAGAAATCAACCAGCTATATGGTCAGTGAATCTGCAACAAGACAGGCAAGAATACACAAATGGGGAAAAGACAATCTCTTCAACAGATGGTGTT